GGCCCTCTGCGATTTGAGTTCCGAGCCAGCAATAACCAGGTCGAGTACGAAGCGTTGTTGGCCGGTATGAAATTGGCGAAGGAAATGGGGGCGACGAGTTTATCAGCACGAAGTGACTCCCAGCTGATCACGGGGCAGGTAGCCGGCACCTTCCAGGCGAAGGACCCTCAACTGGCTAAGTACCTGGAAAAGGTTAAGCTTTTATCGGAAAATTTCCGAGAATTCACACTTAACCATGTACCACGAGAGCAAAATTCGAGGGCCGACTTGCTCTCTAAGCTTGCAAGCACGAAGAAGCCAGGAGCTACTCGGTCAGTTATCCAAGAGACGCTAGCACAACCAAGTATAAACGAGGCGCAAGGGAACGTCCTATTCATCCAGGAAGAGCTTAATTCGTGGATGGGACCGTACATCGCATATATAACTCGGGGGGAATTACCGGAAGACAAAAGGGAGGCATCGTTGGTGCAAAAGGAGTCGGCCAGGTTCGTAGTCATCAACGAAAGACTGTATCAAAGGGGCTTTAGCTCCCCTCTCTTAAGGTGTTTGATCATGTCGCAAGCACAGAGAGTGATGGATGAGATACATAGTGGAATGTGCGGAAGTCACATCGGAGGCCGAGCTCTGGTGTATAAAGTTGCCCGAGCAGGTTACTTTTGGCCATCCTTGAGGAACGACTGCGTCAATTGGGTCCAAAAGTGTGACGGATGCCAGAGACACGCAACCCTACACCATTCCGCAGCTGAACGGCTACATTCAATATTATCCCCCTGACCTTTCCACAAGTGGGGGATTGATATTCTCGGTCCATTTCCGATCGTAGTAAGGCAAATGAAGTTCTTGATAGTAGCTGTTGACTACTTCAGCAAATGGATAGAGGCGGAGCCAGTTGCAACCATCTCAGCAGAGAAGGTTAGAGTGTTTCTTTGGAAGAACGTGGTGTGTAGGTATGGAGTTCCTCAAATGCTCGTTTCCGATAACGGGACACAGTTTGCAAGTGCGAGAGTCCGTGACTTTTGTAAAGAGGTCAGCATCCGAATGGCATTCACTTCCGTTGAACACCCACAATCTAACGGCCAGGCGGAGTCGGCCAACAAGGTAATTCTTTAAGGTTTGAAGAAGCGTGTCCAAGACTCAGGCACTTCATGGGTGGAGGAGCTTCCCCGAGTGCTATGGTCATATCACACAACAGTTCATTCGTTGACCCAGGACACTCCTTTCAATCTAGTGTACGGAACAGATGCCATGATCCCGATTGAAATTGCAGAGCCGTCAGTACGTACTACAGCTTTTTCGGAGGAGGAATCCGACCAGGGAAGACGAGTGGACTTGGACTTGATCACAGAAACAAGAGAGAGAGCAAGGATAAATCAAGTAGCAGCCCAGAGACGAGCGGCCTTCAAGTACAATACAAAAGTCGTCCCAAGAGATTTCGTTGTAGGAGACCTCGTGTTGAAGCGTGCTCAGCTAACTCAGATGAGAAACAAGTTGTCACCTAAGTGGGTCGGCCCCTACAAAATTGATGATGTGGTCGGCAAAGGAGCTTACTGACTGAGGACCTTGGATGGAGGGATGATACCGAGGACATGGAACGCTGCAAATTTGCGCTTTTACTATAGCTAGTCTCTTTGCCCATTTGTATTAGGTGCACTCTTTTCCTAACTCAGTATTTTGTCCCCGTAAAAATATGAGGGGTTTTTGCTGAGAAGGTTTTTAACGAGGCACCACCTTTTCAATTCTAATAAATGTTATCTCATTGTTTTTTTTTATGACTCCTAACATGTGTTATTTTAAAGGCACAAACTCGTGATTGTCGGCCAAAGTCCGACTGGGCGAGTATAAAAAACTCGAAAGCAAACTCGTGATTGTCGGCCAAAGTCCGACTGGGCGAGTACAAACAACTCGAAGACAAATATGGGCGATGAAGTATAAAACCTAAAACCCTAAGTCTAGGCAGGGAGATTACACTTTTGAATGCTCTGGTTCTAAGGCACGATCTAGGAAAAAACCCTAGTCCACCCTTTAGCCGGAACAATTGTCATGAGCAGTTATATATAATTCTGATTAATAAAGGAGCTTGTGAAAATTATAAATAACCTGTCATCGTAACAAATATGGTATGAAATCATTTCGACTTATATTGTGTTCAGTGAGAAAAAATGAAGGAAAATAGAAAGAAAGAAATTTGTGTAAAAGTAAATAACTAAAGAATATAGTGAAAATAAATATTATTTAGTAAAGAAGAAATAAAAAGGAAATAAGTTGAAGTTAATTTTTTAAAATTAATAAAAAAAAATATTTATATCATCATTATTTTATTCATTTGTTTTTATTATAAAATTGTTTTTATTAATTTTTAAAATGGTTTATTATTTATAATTTTTTTAGTCCATGTATAGGCTTAAAAAGAAAAAGAATTGTTTATATATATTAAAGTAAAAGAAGTCTCTATGTAAAAAAAATTAATAAAAAGGAGAAAAAGAAAAAAAAATATATGTCTAGTATTTACTTAAAAAGTGTGAAATGTTTAGTTAAAATGACCTAGAAAATAGGAAAAATAAAACAGAGATGGCACGTAATTATAAAAATAAAATAGTCTAAAAATTATAAATACGAATATCAAATGTGATCCGTGTTAACGTATAGATTGATCTTTAATAATATTATAGATATAAAGCTACCTGTGACCGATAAACTTGCCGTAAAATGTTGTTATTTCTCTTTTATAGATGTTTTCGGGTGAAATATATCTTTAATTTTAGGCAGACGAGACGCACGCCATTTCCAATTTTAAACTTACCTACAAAAATCCCCAATAAACTTACCTACCAGTTTTAAAACTCAGGAAACTTACCTACAAATTATTCAATAACAAGACAATTACTTGGGGACTTTCCTGCAAATTTAAAATCCACAGAAAATTTATTTACAATATTTTTTACAAATTTTTAATTTGCTAAAAAATTTCTTACAAAAAGAATTCGTAGATTTTCTATGAAAAAAACTGCAAGAAAATATCCAAGAAATCTCCTGTAAAATTAAAATTTGCAAAATATATATATAATCTATGAGAGTACTATTACTTGTGAATTAAAACTCACATAAAAATTTATTACAAAAAAACATATTTCTTATAAATTTTTCGTGGGACAATCTGCATGTAATAAAATAATTTTTAGTAGTAAATTTTATAATCAGTTTTGCAACAGATTAAATCATTTGGTTTCACTCTTTTCACATTTATGTTATAAACGGACATTTCAAAATTTTAAACCAAAAGTTTATTATTTGCACGTTAACATATAAAAACATGAGTTATAAAATTGGACCATACAATTTTATATCGATGCAGTCAAAATTAAAAGTTATTTCATTAACACAGAAAAGAAGATTTTTATCATCATGTCACAACACTTTACATATTCTTTTTTCAATATAATTTTTTTAATTCAAGAAGTGCACAATAAAAATAATTATAACCATTGTATATAGTTTAATTGATTAATCCTTTTAGAGAGAAAAAAATTATGCATCAATAGTAAAATAGTTTTAGACTATCATCCAAACATAAACCATTGTTACAATGAATTTGTTGACTTTAAAATAATTACTTTCAAAATCATTCAAATAATAGATTTTTTATTGATTGATATTGTAAAAAAAAACACTAATGCATAACTATAAAATGTTAATTCTTTACCAAAAAAAACTATAAAATGTTAATTTATGTTAATATATATTTAATTTTACCGTAGATCAAGGACCAATCAACTAAAATGTCCTAATTTTAAAAATAAATAAAGATGATGAAAATATACAAAGAACTCAAATAAAAATGAAAAACTAAGAAATTGAGAGAAAAAAAATATGTTTATCTTTACAACCACGTCATTGTAATCATATTTAATATACTTTCAATCAATTTAGTTAATAATACTAAATTTATTAATAATTTAAATTATTTTTATCAATTTCTTTTAGTTAAAGTTAAATGTGCACAACATTACTATAATTTGTAAGACAGAGACATCTCAACAACATTAACACTTTAAAACCTATTATTCATTTGTAATATGTCCAAATATATAAAATAAAAATATAAAATAATATAAAGTGTATGGGAACTACACCAAAGTCTATGAAAGGAAATTAATAAAATTTCTTTCAAAATTTTGGTGTATGGGGAGGGGATCTACTATTTTTTTGAAGAAAAAAGACCACATATATTGACCAAATATTTAATATATAACTATCTTTTTTAAAGTTAAAACGTCTCTTTCAAAATTTGTTTTACACCGCATCCAGTCAGGATCGGATTTAAAAAAATTAGTTTTCCAACTAATAATTATTAAAAGTTGTTGATACATGTATAAATATGACATGACATGAGTGGCACTAATTTAATATTCGACAATTAGCAAAGTGTGTCTGGTCGTACACAAAAAATAATGCATAGAGTAATAATTAGATACGACAAATTCACTTTTCTTTATTATATAAAATACGGTTCAGTTTCTTGGATACCCAGTTCACCATGTTCACAGAACAAAAAATATTGAATCAAGTAAATATTTTATTTTTAATTAATTAAAATAAGAAAACATTTTTTTAGAGTGTTTTTGTCTCGTTACAGGTATCGAAAAATATTTTCGATAAATTAAAGCTAAGTTGAATGATTTAATTCCCTGTGACTACGTACCATCCCAGAAAGGACCCTATAGTGAAACAAAATTCAATATGCTTAATTAAACGTTGCGTTTAATGGATACAAATTATATATATGACTTTTAAATACTTTAACATGAAATTTATGAACGAGTTAAAAAATTTAAGTTGGAAATGCAAACAGATCTTTAAAAAATGAATCTTTGACCTCAGTTGAGAAGAGGACTCGGGACAAGACTTCAGATTTGTAGAATGAATTGGTTATTTTATGAGTGATTAAAACACACTCGATCAGAACCAAAGCAAGTAGCTAGGTGTAAATCACAGCAGAAAGAAAGCACAGAAGTAGATCTTACCGGCTAAACCAAGTTCTAAAACCGCATAAAGTATACATATAATATTCAGAAAAAAAGCATAAGGATATATGATGAAAAGTTGGGTTACAGCGAGAGAAAGGTGAGTGGGAAATGAAAAACATGAGAATGGATATGATACGTGGACTTAAAAACCTTCTTTTCTTATACAGAAAATAGAATAGATCAAGCTACATATATGGTTGCAGCATAAGTTATGCCTAACCATAACCCCAAAAAAAGAAACAACTAAAAGGAAGGAACCAGACAAGGCCCAAAAACTAAACGAAGCACCCTCGATCCCTATAGTAACACGTACTTGCTTCCTTTCATGCGCCTTCTTCAATAATTCCAACTTAATGATGCATAGATGAATCTGCAAGATATATAGGAATTAAATGCAATAAGCAAGTATATATAATTAAGGAAGCAAATCATGTTGATCATGATGAGAAGCTTATAAATAATAACCTGTTGTTATGCCATGTAACAAATATGATATGAAATCATTAATTCGAAGTCGGTGGAGGTGGAGGTGGAGATTTAGGTTTGTCTGTACCAGAACGTTTGGCCTTATCGGCATAACCAGGAGGTTTAGGTTTTACTGTACCTCTAGCCTTAGCCGGACCATTAGTCTTCTCAAAGGAATTGTCGTTTTTGGAACTCATTGTGCGAGCTCGCTGGCTAACTGCTACAGATTGGTGTTGGTTTAGTGTATGAGCAAATTACACTTACTTATATTATATCTATTTATAGGGAACCAATCCTACCTGTCCACGTTATTCAATTCATCCATGCAAGTGATTGCGTTTGATAGCGTGTTTGTGGTTTTTCACGTCAAATCGGAAGTAAGTAGGATTAATTTTCACGTTTCACACAGAATTGACGTCAAAATATATTGTTGTCAAAATATATTATCTTTGGGTCAAGGTCACGACTTTTTACTCCTATACTATACCTATATTATGTTTAAAGAAAAAATAAAACTCAAAATAATTATTATATTAGCTTTTCAATATATTATTAATAATCTATTTTTTTAATACATTATAAAAAGTTAGTTATTATGTTATATTACTAATAATAAAAATATATTTATTAAAATTAATTTTGTAAAATTATTTTTTTTATCTATTTATTAATTTTTATTCATATAAAATAATTTAAGATCACACTTATTATAAAATTTGAGGAAGTATATTTTATTAAGTAACTATTACGCAAGTATTTATGACGAAACAAATTTGAAGTTAATGACTTAAGCTAAAATAAATAAATGAGCTAAATTTTTTTATCAACTTTTAAAATGATCGATGCATTGTACATGTGTACTAAAAATCTGGTCAAAATTAAAATATTAATTTAAATATGTTTAAACTATCTTTAATTAAACTAGTTTTCAAATTATTACTTATTAATTTTTTTTATTTTAAATATTTGATTTTTTTCTTCAATTTAGTACTTAAAGTTAGTTTCTCTCTATTAAATGATGATGTAATTGATAGACCATCACACATAGGGGTAGAAAAACGGGCCAGTTCGGCCCGTTTTGGCCCTGCCCACCAATTGCCCGCAAAAAAGGGGTCAAGTCGGGTGGCCCGCCAATAGAAAACGGGTTGGGATAGCTAGCCCGCCCGCCTAAGGACGGGCTAGCAGGTCGGTAGGCCAACCCGCATACCACAAAAAATTAAAATAAAATAAAAAACATTTTATGTTCACATAAAAAAATTGCTATATATAAATAAATATAACCATATATATGAAATTAAAAATGCATACATATTATAGATAATATATGTTCAACAAAAACAAATTACAAACTTATAATAAAATCAAATAGAAAATAGTTCACTTACACTAAAATCAAAACCAAATTATAAACTTACAAATTACTAATAAACTAAATTTTTGATAGACCACAAAACAAGTCCAAATACAATTAATCAACTTTAACTGTCTATTTAAAGAACATTAGAAGCTCCCTTGGAAGATAAATAAATTAAACATAGAAAAAAAATTAAATATAAAAAAAATTAAAGTATACGGGTTGGCGGGTTGTGACAGATCAGCCCGCTATTTGGCCTGGCGAGCTGGCGGGTTTGGCGGGTTGACAGGTTAAAATATTGGGCCCGACCTGTCAATTTTTGGCGGGCCAACGGGTCAGCCTGCAGGTCAGAGCCCATTTTTTCATCCCTAATCACTTAACAATGTTTACCATGTCATCTAAAAGACTATCACATGCACATTTAGATTACAATGGACTCCAATTTTAAGAGGTATAATAACCTGTATTAAAATGGACTCCAATTTTATCAGAGGTCAAGGACACAACTTTTTATATTTTATTATGTAATCGTTATGTATTTATATACGATCAAACAAATTTGAAGTTAGTGTCATGAATTAAAAAAAAAAAAAAGAGCTATTTTTTTATCAATTAAATGATTGATGCACTGTATACCAAAAAAACTCAACCTGGTCAACATTAATAAAATAGTGGTCTTGGTTGTATAATTATATTTGGAAAACAAGTTGCCAATTTAATAAGAGAACACCCTCTTTGCATTTGATAAATTTAAAGAAAAGATCATGTATTGGAATTCTTATTTATACCCGATTAAAATAGGATAAAACTTAATTAATTCCAGTACTTATATGTCCTTTAATTTAATACGAATTTTTAATTAGAATTATAATTTTTCATTTTGATAATATATATTTATATTTAATGCATTGAACCAATTTAATTTATATTAAATATAAATACTTTTTTAATAGTAAAATTAGAGTTTCACTTTTATGTATTTATATTTAATATTTTAATTATATATTTATATTTAATACATTGAATCAATTAGATCTACATTAAATATAAATATATATTTTTATAATAAAATCATAATTTCACTTTCATACTATGTATTTATATTTAATATTTTAATTAGATATACATTAAACGTAAGTATGATTTTTTTTTATAGCAAAAGTGCTATAATAATTATATTAAGCCAGCTAATAAAAGCCACAAGCAATACCAACATTAGCAGAAACAAAGTTTTTTACAAAATAACAGAAAATGACTAACCCAAAGAAAATAAAATACAACTCTCTTCAACTGAAACAATACTTAACTTTCGAAACAAATGAGAAAGACTAACGGTTTAAGAGGGAGAAGTTTGTCAAGAATAATAATCATTTAAATGTGAGTCGATCACAACAAGAACAAATGTTCATTTAGAGAAAGAAAAGGAAATGCGCGACATCATTTAACTTTATGAAGAAAGTTAATTTTATAATTTTCTATACAATTAATATTTTTTTATTATTATTATTATTATTATTATTATTATTATTATTATTATTATTATATTAATTAGCTAAGTTAGTTTTTTATTTTATAGAAATTTGAAGAATTTGAGAGTACAACAACTATCAATACCAAAAAATTTTGAGTGTGATATTTATTTAGAGAAATCAAGTATTCCATCATCATACGGTTGATATAATACGGGGTTAAGTCGAGTCATTTTGATTAAAAGTGACTAACACAGAATCGTATACGAATAAGATCGACTCTCACATGTATGAAGTGATTAACTGCCTAAGGCACAAGGCTAAAGGCTAAAATCTTTAACTAAGTACTAGAAGGGGCACGACATTTGGAGGGTGGTTGATAAGCTAATTCAATATAGGCTTAGTTATGCATGTTAAGGTTATAGTAGACTCACACCCAGGTCGTTTTATCTTTTACAAAAATTTTAGACTTTCATAGTTTAAGTAGCAAAATCCAATAAATCATGTTATATTGTGGATTGATATCCAAATTTATTGTTGATATAGCAAGAAAAAAAAGATTGTGTTATTAAGTTGGTTCAGTAAGGTCAAGTCACTTAGACTACTCACCTGTGTTATAAGAGATTTGTTAGTTGAAACGTGTGATGACACATATTGATATATTGTTAAGTTGACTTGTGTTGGAAATTGATATACAAAGAGACAAAGTAACTTCTCTTAGTAATTCACCTCTATAAATTAAATATGATTAGTTATCTCTTATGAGAGTCTTTTTAACTATTTTTCTTAATAAGAGTGTTTATTGACATTTTTCTTTAATGAATGATTTTTAGGTATTCTTTTACCATTAATTGTGTCTAATTTAATATTTATTTATAAATTAAAATTTAATATTTTAAAATAAATTATCAATAAATAAAAATAATTTCATATCAAAATACAAAATATTTATCATAAATATAAATATCATTTATATATTTAAAAATATTTATTTATATATTTTTTAAAATATAATATTTATTTATATATAATTTATTATAAATTTTAATCACATATAATAAATATTTATTCGGTAAAATGCAGGTTAATAATAATAATGAACGGTGTGCTAAACTTTTCTTTAGAAAGAAAAAATGACAGTGCTAAAACCCTAAAATAAACAAAGTACCTGCGGAGCTCAAGCTGGTCAACTTTATTTTTATAATATTTTATATCTATTTTTAATACATTATATATCAATTTTACATATATATGTTTTTTTAACATAAAATAATATTATAATTTTGATCTATCAACCTATAATATATTTTTGAGGTGATAAAAAAATATTTTAAAAATAATTTGAATACATTTTATATAAAATGGGGGACCATGATGCTCTTGCTCCACCAGCGCCGCCCCTGTTGACTAGTTATTTGCGCGTATTCTACCGAAGGGTGTCTCAGTAATTGAATAATGAGGGTAAGCTTGTTTGTTTTCCTATAATTATAAATAAATTGCATTCATTGAAGAGTAATACACAAATCTGAAGCATTTAGTGAGCCAGATCGCAGAATGAGTGAGAAAGCTTTAGAAGCACTGCTTTTTGATTATAAAGCCCATGCTACGGGTTCAAATTCTTTGGGTAAACCCAAAGACTCTGGGCCTGGGGACGGAAAAAAAATCGGATCTGGGAAAGGAAACGGAAACGGAAACGCATGCAAACCGGATTCGAATGGGAAGAGAGGATCCAAATCTGGACAAGGGAATGGGTCCAAGTATTACTAAGGACAGGTTAGTTATTATCCAAGTCAAATTAGTAAACATGATTTGCTTCCTTAATTATATATACTTGCTTATTGCATTTAATTCCTATATATCTTGCAGATTCATCTATGCATCATTGAGTTGGAATTGATTACAAGCTTTTACTGGAGAAGCAAGGACGTGTTCTTTGTTAGTTTGTTTAGTATTTTTCTTTGTCTGACTATCATGTTTTTCATCTTGCTGTAACCCAGCTTTTCATCATATATTGTTGTGCTTTTTAATTTTAATACTTTTTATTTATATATATGCTGTTTCAGAACTTGGTTTAAATTTTAAAGGGTGAGATTTACAGTATTTTCAGATTTCTTTCTACTGTGACTTAGACTGTGCTTTGGATCCGATTATGTTTGAATTTACCCATAAAATAACCAATTCATACAAACTAATCTGCAGTCTGATGATGAGTCTTCTTCGAACTGAGGTAAAATATTCATTTTTTAAAGTTCTGTTTTAATTTTCTTGCATTTTCAGCTTAATATTTTTAATTTGTTAATAAATTTCAATTATGAAGCTGCTTCTTCTTTCCTGTATTCTTTTATCATTTCCTACTCAAAATGATTTTCTCTTGGTGACAAAATGTGTAAGTGAAAAGTAAAAAATTGTGTTTTTTAATTGAATTCCTTATGGACAAATATGATCGTTAAAGGTTCCTGTGTAATTATATATATATATTGAATTATATTATTTATATATATATACGAGGAAGACTTCATTTATTTTAAATTTTACTTAAATTTATTTTATTTAATATTTTATATTTTATATTAAATTTAAACAATTTAACTATTGAATTAAGAGTTCTTCATATATTGATTATATCTGCAAATTTTTAAGAGATTTAAATTTTTTTTGATGTTCTAATTTATTAATTCAAATTAACAGATAATTATAAAGATATTTTATGTAATGATTTAAATTAGTAAAATAAAATATTAAATAATTTTAAATTCTTTTGAAAACTTGCAAGTTTTGATTTATGTTAAGAATTTTAAATTTAACTGTTAGATTGTTAAAATTTATTATAAAATTATTAAATAAAATAAAATATTAATTAATTATTTTAAATATTTAATTTTTTTTCAATTTAGTACCTGATGTTAATTTCTCTCTGTTAAATGATGACGTGGTTGATGGACTATCACACCATCACCTATAGGGGTGGAAAAATGGGCCAGTCCAGCCCGTTTTAGCTTGGCCCACCAATGGCCCATAAAAAAAGGGTCAGGTCGGGTGGCCTGCCAATAGAAAACGGGTTGGGATAGTTGGTCCGCCTGACTAAGGACGGGCTAGCGGGTCGGTGAGCCAACCCGCATACCACAAAAAAGTAAAATATAAAAAAAACATTTTATGTTCACATAAAAAAAATTGCTATAAATAAATAAATATAACCATATCAAATTAAAAATGCATACATATTATACATAATATATGTTCAAGAAAAATAAATTACAAACTTATAATAAAATTAAATAGAAATTAGTCCACTTATACTGAAATCAAAACCAAATTATAAACTTACAAATTACTAATAACTAAATTTTTGATAGACCACAAAACAAGTCCAAACACAATTAATCAACTTTAACTTTCTATTTCAAGAACATTGGAAGCTCCCTTGGAAGATAAATAAATTAAACATAGAAAAAAATTAAATATAAAAAAAATTAAAGTATGCGGGCTGGCGGGTTGTGACGAGCCAGCCCGCTATTTGGCCCGGCGAGCTGGCGGGTTTGGCGGGTTGAAATATTGGGTCCAACCTACCAATTTTTGGCGGGCTAGCGAGCCAGCTCGCAGGTCAGAGCCCGTTTTGCCATCCCTAATCACTCAAGAGTGTTTGTCATGTCATCTAAAGGACTGTCATATAAACATTTAGATTACATGGCAGACACTGTTGGGTGATGATGTGGCAATCTGTCGGCAACGTCATCACTTAAAAGATGGGAACTAATGTCGAGTACTAAATTGAAATAAAAAATTTAATAGTTGGTAGTCTGAAAACCAATCTAATTAAAGGTAGTTTAAACATATTTAAATCGTAAATTTATAATTTCTAATATTATTTTAAAATTAGTAAATATTCATATAGATATATGTTTTAAAGGATTGAAAAAGTGTTTTGGGACCATATGGGAAGTGCACTTGATGCACTCAAACCCAACTCACCTATTTAACATTCCTGGGCATAATAGTAGAAGAAAAATATCCTTTTACATAGGTTTAACAGTTGCAAATTTGATGAGTAAAATTGTCATCGAAGGGTAATCTATGTTGAGGCCACCATATTTAAATAGCATAAATTACACTGAGTGGAAGGAACTTATGCGAATATTTATACAATTTGTCGACTTTAAACTTTGGTTTATCATAAAAAAATGGACAAAAAATTTCAACAAAAATAGCACACAATGGAGAAGTGGAGAAAAGTGAAGATGAATATGATGGAGAAGATATGAAGCACTTGGAACTAGAAGTAAAAGCAAGAAATGTTTTATATTGTACCATGAATTAAGATACTTTTTGAAAAAATTTCTAAGTATGGCTTAAATATGTTCAAATTACCTCCAATTAGGTCAGTTTTCAGATTATTACCTATTAATTTTTTTTTTATTTTAAGTATCTGACTATTTTTTTTCATAATTTAGTACTTGACATTTGTCTCCCTCTATTAAGTAATGACGTGACCGATCACGTCATCTAAATGTTTATGTAACATTTATTTATATGACGTGATAGACACTGTTAGATGATGACATGACAGTCTATCAACCACGCCATCACTTAACAAAGAGAAACTAATGTCAAGAACTAAATTAAAAAGAAAATTAAATATTTAAAATTAAAAAATTTAATAAATAATAATCTAAAAATCAATTTAATTAGAGATAACTTAAATATATTTAAGCCTAAAACATTTCATGGCTCTAATTATATTTGGAAAACGAGTTGCAAATTTAATAAGAGAGCGTCCTCTATGACTGTATATGCATATGATAAATTTGAAAGAAAACATCTTGTCTATCAATTCATACACAGTTAAATATTACTACTAAAAAAAGTTGACTAGAATCTTGAGCTAAAGACGCCAGCTGTTTTATATTAGAAAAATTCTAATTCGTCCAAACTTGAGCCCAGAAAACAGTGGATTCATTTAAAAACTTACACTTGTCCTTACATTTGATTATAAATTAATTGATTTTAAATTTTTTAAACTTTTATCTTTGGCCGGAAGATGATTCGGTTTATTTGATTCGAAGAAAATATCAATTCTCTTTATATCACTATGATTATTATTAACAAGTGAAATCGAAATATTTTATATCTCTATAAATAAAATAAAATAAAATAATAAAATTGTATTAATTTAATTAGTGTTAGAATTTATTTTTAAATTTCAAAATTTTAAGTTCAAGTTTTAGATTTAATAAAAATAATTTTTAAATTTTTAATAGTAAAAAGGTATCCTAATCTACTAAATATAGAGATTAAAGTGATTATTAAAAAATTATCCTTTTTATAGATAGAGATTAAAGTGATTATTAAAAAATTATCCTTTTTATAGATAGTGAAAAATAGTTAGTTTTTTTTATATTTATTTAAAGGATTTAAACTTTTTAAAGTGAGAAAATAAATTTAACAAATAATGTATAACTAATTATTGATTAGAAAATTAATGTTCAACAATTACAACGAAAAATTTGATTAAAAAATATAAAAGTAATTATAATAATAATAATTATTAATTTTTTAATTAATAATTGTCATTGCAGTTTATTTTTTAAAATACAATTCTTTAACCTCAAGCGTGTGGTTCAGCGGTAGGGGGTTGATCCACGCTTAAGCAAGGTCAGGGGTTCGAATCCTGCCTTGTGTATGCAGCCGCGTTAAATCTTGGGGCCAACTATCCCTCCCTTTGAGGTGTCTCTAACGTAGCGAGGAGATTAGTCACTGCTGTCGACGGTAGATACTCCAGGGATGAAAAAAAAAATACAATTCTCTAATTTAAGAGGAGTCAAATCCTTATTTAAAAATATGCACTCTTATACAAAGTAAAGTGGAAGAAACTAAGTATATGTCAATAAAGAGTCAAATCCTTATTTAAAAAATGCAGTCTTATACAAAGTAAAGAGGAAGAAACTAAGTATATGTCAATAAAGAGTGACAGTAATCGGTTTAAAAGATAATAAGAGTTTAATGATAAAAAAAATTAAAAAAATAAATAACAGAGTTAGTAAAACCTGTATCGTATTTATAATATTTATAAATGTATGTATGTATATATTATTATTGAAAATGAGAGACTCTTAACCTCTTTATTTTAAAAATAATTTGATTTCATAAGTTGCCTGTAATATGATAGAGCTTACCCAACATAAATTGGGTCTGTACAACAGAGTTACAGAATAAAAAAAATATAACAGTTATGAATCTTTAACAACCATACAGACCCCGGACCCAGAGCCTTTGGAGTTACCACTGAGATCAGGTTTGTTTGAAGCAGTAGCTTTGGATTTATGATCATTTGTGGGTGGTGGTTTCGAACTCATTGTGCCACCGATCGAGCTAGCTTCAGATTACCGTATGAACAAATCAAATCACACTTTATTATATGTTTTTTCTATTTATAATTTGGTAACAAACATGCCCTCATTATTAAGCACCGGAACTATTAAATAAACCCTAAGTACCACGTCCTTGATTAAAAATAATTAAATAATAAGCAAGGACGTGTTCTTTGTTAGTTTTTTTAGTATTTTGCTTTGTCTGACTATCATGTTTTTCATCTTGCTGTAACCCAGATTTTCATCATATATTGTTATGCTTTTTAATTTTAATACTTTATTTATATATATGCTGTTTCAGAACTTGGTTTAAATTTTAAAGGGTGAGATTTACAGCATTTTGAGATTTCTTTCTACTGTGACTTAGACTGTGCTTTGGATCCGATTATGTTTGAATTTACCCATAAAATAACCAATTCATACAAACTAATCTGCAGTATGATGAGTCTTTTTCGATCTGAGGCAAAATATTCATTTTTTTAAGTTCTATTTTAATTTTCTTGCATTTTCAGCTTAATATTTTTAATTTGTTAATAAATTTCAAGTATGAAGCTGCTTCTTCTTTCCTGTATTCTTTTATCATTTCCTACTCAAAATGGTTTTCTCTTGGTGACAAAATGTGTAAGTGGAAAATAAAAATTGTGTTTATTAATTGAATTCCTTATGGACAAACATGATCGTTAAAGGTTCCTGTGTAATTATATATATATAT